AAGCGTATGTTGACCGAAGCATTCCAGTTTGAGATTGTCCAAGACTAGTGGAAGGGACCATCCATCCATGACAGCATGATGATGCGTCCAAATCACACGAAGGCGGTTATCTACAAAGAGGTAAGATCGGAAAACCAAGCACGGCAAACGTACCAGACACATGCACGCCCGTGAATCGATGGAACGATTTGGACGGAAATGGAAACCCGCGGCGTCGATCGGTGGCAAGAAACGTTTCCGTGCAATTTTCCAAGTCACTGGCCGGCCATGGTTGTTCATCTAGCATCGTCCACTCGCTCCAATCGGCCTTTGCAACCGCTTGGAACATGCCGTACGAAGTTGACACAAACGTCGTTCGTAGGAAGGGAATGTTACTCGACACGTTGTGCCAACACTGCTTGACATAACTCAACTCGTCGGTCCCGCGAAAGTCCAGCACGATCTGAAGCACGTACTCGGCGGGGTCGGCCATGAGCGCGACCAGTAGCCCAGACTGAAGCGGTGTGACGGGGTAGATGTCTTCGACATCGAGAGGGCGCAGACGCAACGCCGTCAACATCTCCGTTTCGACGGCGTCGATGGTCTCGTTCGACTGGAGCAATGGCAAGTCGGACAGTGTGCGACCACCGACGGTAGTCGAGTCGAGACAGTGCGTGACCACGGCGTCCATCCATCGACACCACAACGTCCCACACTTTCGAATGTCTTCTTCCGGCATCAGCCAAGCAGGAACATTCAAGTCCAGGACAAGTGTGTTGTCCGCATGCGACACCACGACGCTACCAGGGCTAAAGCCCTGTTCGCTCTGGTCCTTTTGTGGAATGTCGAGTCCATGGACCGGTCGGAACATGCTGTCGGCCGCGTCCATCTCTTGGAATCGACCAGTATAATTGAACGACAGATTGTGCCTTCGATGCCGTTGAATTTCTTGGGTGCGGTCTGTCGTTGGAGCGAGGTACTTGATGGCGCCGTAGGACAACCCGTGGTGCGGCACTGCACGAAGCGTCTCCTTGACATGCCGTACCAAGTCAGCAATGTTGTCCAAACCCGACAGCACGACAGGGAATTCGTTAGTGAACCACCCCACCGTGTTGGACACATCCAAGGTGGCATCCCACGATTCGCGACCATGTCCTTCCAGCATCACGCAAAGGTCAACACGTTTCGATGCGTTGCCAACCCTATGCAACTCGGACCAAGCGCCGGTGAGGGCTGCAAGGGCAAGTTCTTGGATGTTCGTCCCGTACGTTTCGTTGGCTTTGTTCAAGTTCATCGCCACGGCAGCGGCCAGGTGGATGCGATGATGGGTGGTATCGAAATCGCTGACGACAAGATGAGGAGGATGGACGAGTGGATGCAAAACGTACGTGGAGTTGGCGGGAGGAACGAGGTCATCACCTAAATACCGCGACCATAAACTTGGATCCCATTCGGCTGCTTGGTTGTGTAGTCGAGTGGACCATTCCTGGAACGAAGTCGTCTTTGGGCCCAACGCTTTCTTCGTCAGTAGCAACTGCAGATCGCCAAGCAGAATGCGCCACGACACCAAGTCCGTAATCGTGTGATGGAGTGTCCAGTGAATATACTGCGATCGGTCTGGGGTTTCCAGCAACGCCACACGAAACAAGGGGCCGTCTGTCAAGTGCAGCGTCTGCTCTCTGGCTAGAATCGCTGATTCCAGGTCGATCACGCCATCGATCGCTACGAACTCGACCATAGGAACACCTGCGTCGCATTCCTTCAAGATATATTGGGTCCATTTCGAATTTGTGCATTGAAATCTTGCCCGGAGCATGTCGTGATGCGAAGTCAGCTGCTCCACAGCCTGCCGAAGGGCACCGATCTCGATCCGTTGGCAACATTCTCGAGTTATGGATAAGTTCCAAAAGTGGATGTTTTCCCACTGGTGATTGAAAGACAGGACTTGGATGGGGGTAAGAGGCACAAGACCACAAGACTCGACAACTGCACGAACGCCCATGTCACTCACGGCCTGCGCGACGCGATTCATACATGCCAGGATGGGATTCTTCATCACGTCGGAGGCTCGCAGCATCAGCCCAGCCTGTTTGGAAGCACTGACCAC